GAATGTTTTCATGGCAATGGCCACGGGCGGGGTGGAGGAGGTTATGGCCACTCGTAAATGGCCGAGAAAGTCTTAGGATCTTGACGGCGAATGACGTCGCGTTGCGTAACCTTCTCGAACGATGTCTAGGCTACTTGAGTTGAATCTTTTTTTTTTTTCTTTCTCTCTCGGAATTTTTGGTCTGTCGCTTCTTTGTTCTCTGCGTCACTTTTTTTTTTTTTTCTCTCGTCGCCTCGTACTTTCTCTCGCTGCACGTACGGGGTATCTATCGCGCTCCTTTTCTATCCTCGCGTTCACGTAGCGTCTGTCGCTCTCGATGGAAACGCCCGCGGGCGAAAACGGTAATGCGTATAGCGATACGTAAACGGACGGATACGGGGATAACGGGCTTGCAGGTGAATTTGAACCGCGGAGCAAAGCTTTGAGGGAGACGGGATTTTTTTTTTTCTTTTTTTTTTGGAAATAAGGAGTTTCCATGGTTGCAAATATTTTTTTGTACCTTTTTTTTGTTTTCTCGTCCCCTCGTTCATTATCTCATGGAGAGGAGCGCGAGTGCCGTCGGCGAGGGATTTTTTTTTTTTTACGAATTTACGTATAATGGTCATGGACGGTTATCCGCGTAATAACGTTGTACGGGATTTATCGGGTGGCTTGTAAATTGTTTGTATTTTAATTTAAATTCAACTGTTTTTTTTTTTTTTCTTTTTTTCGTAACACCGGGTACATTCCCGGTGACGGTTTCACGAACGATGCCTTTGAAATTATGTAAATCGTCTTTCGAGCTCCGACGACAATGACGGGACGTCGGTGAGGATTTTTCGGCTGCGACGACGTCCCTCGCTCCCGGATTACGTAATCGGACGGCAAAGTCCAAGTTCACTAGACTCGGACATTTTTTTTTTTCGGCGAAACGAATCGCGCGTCGATGCGACCGAACTTTGAGTAACCTTGAAATTTGTGGACCAATGGAAACGGACCCCGAGGTCCAGTTGATATTCCAATTGTACGAGAGAGGCCTAACGGGTGTCCCGGATTAAACCGGCTTGAGGTTGAATGACTTAATAACGCGAAATGGCCCAATAAACCCGACGAAACGGCCTACGATAAATTCAATGACTCGTTTTGCATCCATCAGGTCGCCTCGGGGAGGCTGGCGAATTAATTGCGCCATTTCCGCTTTCCGGTAACGTCTCCATTTCCCTTACGTTTGGATCGCTCTTGCGCCGCAGCCTGTACGTCGGGACTCGGCTGGACGCTCGAGGTGTCTGAAGTTATCGGGAATCGCGCGTGGATCGAGGTTATGTTTGACGATCGAGGAAAAAAAAGAAGTGGATTATCGATTCAATGCTGGAAACGAAGGGAAAAGGAAATACATGGGCAAAATTCTTATTCGATAGGTCACGTGGTCTTGTCGCGGCATAAAATTAATGCCAGATGCATTAATTGCGCTGTTAACGGTCGCACGTGTCGCGGGTACCAAGTGCATTCGGTGCAACGACGCATCCTCCGAGTGCAGGCGGCTGTTGCATTTTATTATTGAAATCTGATCGTTCACCAGTCGATGAAGCTTATCTGTCGTTTAACGCTAGTAGGATTATATACAGAGTGTATCACCAGAAATGCACGTTTGAGATTTGCGGTGAATAGCTACTTTGCGAATAAGACTTCTCACCTCGCCAAGATAGCAACATTAATTTAAATAGGACCACGTCTACCTGTGATCACGAGTTCCCTTGTGGAAAACTGCTCAACAGCACGACGATTATATTTTAACGAGTCAACTCTGTACTCAAATTCCGCTGGTCGGAGGCTGCCTTAAGACACGATTCCGTATCCCATAGAAAAACAACACAAGAGCCAATATAGAATCACACGAGAGTAGACGCACCTATTATTTCCGTTCCCGTCACGCATATCGTGTAGGGAAACTGCGTCTTACAATCATATTTATACAATTCACTTTCCGAACACTAATCATTTGTATATCTCATTTATAATCATTGTTACTTTCTGCTTGCACATATATCTATTCTTCGCTTACTAACATTCAGCATTGTCAAGGCTGAACCTACACTAACACTGATTGTATTCCGTTGTAGGATAATATATTTTTCTTTTGTAATCTGTAAAACAACATCTCACTTTCATTTGCTCCGCCTGATATTTTTCCTAAATTCCTAATAGTCGATTCCGGCTCGAACCCGCCTTTTTGACACGATTCGGAGAACCGTATCGTGCGAATAAGGTTACAGTATATATAAATATGAATTTTTCATAAATACTAGATCTATGTTCTGAACTTATATTACGTCGGGGCACGATCCGGAGAACCGTATCGTGCGAATAAGGTCACAGTATATGCACGAGGGGTGCTTAATTTATGTATAAAATAAATTGCTATATATTCACCCTTAGCCAGCGCCGGAATCAACCCTTATCGGAAACGCTTAACGGCCGACGGAAAGTAGACTGGTCCAGTGGCTGAGGGCGAGACGACTTCCGATAAATCCTCTGTAAAATATTACGATTGACTCTGAGCTTAATTCAAGGGTAAATTAGCGGTTCGGGGGGGTGGCCGTCTCCCCCTATCGGGCATCCCTTACGACAGTCATTCCGATTCCATTAGACACCATTCGTGGAGTTTTTTAATTCGCGTTCATTTCGCACGCTTGCCGATTACCCCCGGCTGCTACTGCTAATTACCCTCGACCTATTGCTAATTACCCTCGTGTCGTTGCGCCGTCAACGTGCTATCGAGAAACTACGTGGGCGGCGAGTGTGGAAAAATCGTGAATTTTAAATTCTCAAAAGCAGCGCTCGAGTTACGTCAGTCGAGAAGTGTCAGCTGGTATGACGTAAACAAGGCTGGCGCGGCACTTGATACACAAAATACAGCAGGCACGGGTACGCCTGTTTTACCTACGAGGCGGCCGAAGTTCCTTTCTGCGCTGGGAAGCATCGGAACATGCTGCCAGCTGATTTTGCCAAAAGGTGGTACGAGTCGTTGCCCAGAGTGGTACGGTCGACTGGGGCGTTCCACGTGTCTCTTTTGACAGTTACGAAAACAGCGTGGTCTCTGGCGGTGACGCACGTGGCAATGTTTACAAAGCTTTTTTTTTGGGAAGTACGTATATGCGAGGTGTTCTGGGCTTAGTATATTTGATTTTTCTATTTTGGTATTACGTTGCGAAGAACCACGTGTTACTTACTGAGGATTGCGTTGCTTGCCAACTGTCAAAAAAAAAGATCATTGAACCTACTATCGATACGTAAATAAATTATTCGTAGCGTAATTACCTTAGGCGAATTTACTCTTCGTCGCCATCCTTAATAGCACTGTCGAATTTATGCTGTTTGCGGCATTCGTCTTAGTTAACTATTTAATTGCTTGCATTTTGAGACTCTCTCGCTCTCTCTCTCTCTCTTTGGTCTCACGAGCACGAGTTATTCGCACAAATTTGAATTATTCCCGGGCCTCCCGCCAATTACGCGAAACGTATAATAATGGCGTAGGGGTACTATATGCTAATGTACAAGCGTACGTAACGGTGTAACTGGTAAGCCTCTGCCGATAGTACTAGATGTACTGACCTAACCTATAAATATATAGACGCAGGTAGAAATGGATGTATGCCGGTATATATATACCATATATGTACGTCGAGAGAGATTGTACGTTACCTCTGAGATTCGCATCTGAAATTCTTAATCCTCTTACGATAGAGGGCGAATCCAAGAGGAGTAACTAGAAAGGCCTAGTGGCTTAAGAAAGATAGAGAGAGAGAGGGATGAGGTAGAAAGGTCGTAGCTTTTGTTGAAAATCTTCTTGAGCTTTCGTCGCTCTCCTCATCGTCCCGAAACGCTGGCTTAAGGTCTCCGGGGGGTTACGCGCTTAATACTTAATGTCCCATTGGGGATCCCAGGAAGACTTCTACTTGGTGTAAACTACAGTACGAGATGTTTGTTCGTTTGCACTTTCCGTGTAAATTGTATGACGCAATACCCGCCTAACATAACCCTAACATCGTTAGCCAGGCGGAACAGTCAGTGTAGCGGGCCTTGGTAATCGACGAAATTTTCAAAAGTAAATCCGAGAACTTCGTTAACCCTGGGTATAACAAATGACGAGAGACAAGAAAAGGGTCTGTAGAATTCGGGTTGGGGCGAGGAGGGAGGAGGAGTGGAAAAAAGAATCAAAGAATTTTTACTTGTCACGTCACTCGGGAAAGCCGTAAGCTTGACGCCGACAATGGAACTACGAGTCTCGACAAATTTGCGCTGCGAGTCGACGTAAAAATTTATTTGTCCTCGGGTCGCCGGTACTCGTGCCGTAATAAATTGCTGTCGACGGGCGTCTCTGTTAAATCGTATCGAATCGCAAGGAAAGTGCGTTGGTACGCGATTGAGAGATTCTCGGATACTCTTTGCCTTCCGGTAAAGCCTCGTAGAAGCGAGTTCACGAAGTTTTCACGAGCATCGACGGACATTGCCGAAGTGCTGCCGCCTGGCGTTAGCATATCGAATTATTTCCTTTGCCGCGCTCAGTGCCCCGACACGAGAGGCCAATCTTCTCGCAGTCCCTTTTTTCTTTGCTTTCGTTCTGTCGCTTAGTCTGCCACTTCGACTCTCTCTCTCGTCTGTCTTCTTTCGTCGCGTTCAATTCAATCCGACGGTGAAAACTTTTTAAGCCAATTCAACGAACGCTCGCCGCACACTTCCTAGCTCTACGGTAACGTCGGATTCAACGTCTTGTCTTGCGTTAATGAAAACGGAACTCACGGTGACGCGTAATACAAAAACATCGACTCGCCTGTGTTCCATTGTCTCTGTAGTATTTACAAATCTTGTGCTACGAGGATACCTCAAAGAAGCACGACTCATTGGACGTTATTTGAAAGTCGTGGGAATTATCGAGCCGGGGCACGTGACGTCGCTCGGTTAAGTATTCTTCGAGCTGGAATAAAAGAACGAAGAAAAAGGTTACGGGAAAAGTAAGTGTCTGGAAACCCAATATTCCAGGGGTAACCCAATGCTGCAGCTCCTTTCAACAGGTCAACCGTATAATGGTACACCACTTTGGAAAATAATAATTTCACTCTCGGTAGCTGTCGCAAGTGGGCCAAAAGGGACGCGTGCTCTGAATTCATACGGAATGAAGGTATCAACAGCTGCTTTAATTTCACGAAATATTTATATAGGACTGGATACCCATTGTATACAATGGTACCCATTGTAAATACAAAAAGAATTTACAAATTATTTCGTATCTTACATTTCTAAGGTAACTACAGTCTGTCAAATGACGACGGCGGCGACCAATCGGCATCGACCTCTCGATTCTTCGATCTCGTCGACATTCTCACGATATTTTCTTTCTCTTTCTTCCTTTGCCCACCTCGTGTCTCTCGTACTTCAGTCTTTATTCAGTGCTGCCACACGAGTACGTACAAGGATCTCGTTGGTCCTTAGCAGTGAAGCTTGTTCTTTTAGTAGATCCTTATTATTATTATTATTATTTGTCTTTATCCCAAGGAAACCCTCCTGCCCTTCATACCTCCCAGACAGGGGCAGCTCGCTCAAGGCTAGAACGAGCTCCTATTTAATTCTGCCTGCTGCATTTAATAAACTCGTGGCTCTTTGTTCCGTTGAATGGGCTGCTCACTTTTTTTTTCGTCACCACCCCTCACGGGGTCGGGGGTTGTTTTTTCTTTCTTCTTTTTATTTTACAACGCTAGATCGTTTATCGGTATTAATGGAGATTTTGATCTGCTATCGTATGTCAGGGGATATTTCGACCCCCCCCTCCCCCCTTTGATGGCTTATCGCTGGCTGATCCCACGTGACAGGTAGTGTGTATGTATTGTTAGGGGTGGCTTTGATAAGGTTTGAAGCAGGTACTACCGTGTTCACTTCTCGTGGTCTCTTTTAGTGTTTGCATTGCGAACCGGACGAGGCATTGTTCTGCGTCCTGCGGCTTCGATTTAATTAGGTATATTTTTCCTTTAATCCGCTTAACACTTTTACTCGTGATCGAGCGAACGCGAATCCTTGTTAGGTTGGAGTGTCGATGGGTGATTTTTAGTACCGTGGATTACGTGCAGATGGCGCCGAGTACAAATTCATTATTCGGATAGCGTCAGTGTAATTTTATAATACATTTTTTTTTTGTTTTTTTTTTTTTGGGTGCCTATTCAACAGTCACCCTATCTGTAGGAGAATCGCATCCGATCGGCCTGGCAGGTGCAGACGCGATTTTCAGGCAAACGGCGCAGCTGCACGCTTTAATCGGCGCAAAGCAGAGCAATGCGACGCGCGTCCCTCTAGATGGCGCTATAATTATACTTACGGTGATACGATTGAAGCTGAAGGAAGATGCGAGTAGAAAGAGAGAGAGAGAGAGAGAGAGAGAGATGAAATTTAATATATCTGAATGTTAAGGTTTTTAAGGCTGAGGGAGAGAGCGAAAAGAAAAAGGTAAAGCTTCATTATCCAGACGCAATTTTTCTACCAAAACTTATAGAGACACCTGGAATCGAAAGATTTTTCCGAATATATTTCTCTCTCTCTTCTAGTTTCTGTTTTTCTCGGCGTCTCGTGCATCACGGAAAATTGCATCCAGTGATCGGTCCATTGACGCACGCCAAAGTAACAAATGCTCTGACGATACAGAGACAGAGCAATGAGAGCGGGTAATGTGGAGGCATGGGCATTGGGGTGAATGGTAGAACGAAGGAGGACAGGAGGAGAGAGAGAGAAACGGGGAAAGAGGGGGATAGAGAGGGACGGAGAGATGCTGAAGAGGGAAAACAGGGACGGAATAGCAGTAAGTAATTGGTCTTGTTGGAACAATGATAAGGGCAACTGGGCAATGTTTTTTTTTTTTTTTTTTTTTTTATATATCGATTCTCGATAAGAGGGCATCACGCACTCGAATCAACCACGGTAATTGGTTCACTTGTAAGGAGAGAGGAGAGAGCGATATATATACACGTATATGTAATAAAGACGCTGAAAGGCTGACGGTCCTTATATTTACCAAAGAATCCCAGTAGACGCTAATTGACGTCAGTTACGACTGGGCATCAGGGTGCGTCAATTTCAAAAGGGACGAAATCCCACGGCATTAAATGGCCGAGGGCGATTTAGGCGCGGGGAAACTTTTGAGAGGGATCCCCCTTTTGTTAGAGGATATATATGTATATATATATTGCGTTGAGGTAACAAAAAGAGATAGACGGAAAATTAGGGTACATCCACTGTATCTTGTACACCTTTCAGAGACTGGGGTCGGAAAATGTCTTGTAGTCGAAGTGTAATATAGGTTACGGGAGTGCTCTTGATAGTTTCACCAAGTTAACGTGAAAATTCGGAAAAATGGTGTATACCCTATGTCAGACCTTAATTTTGAAATTTTGAGAAATGCCCGCGGGCTCGAACCTTCCTTTCGGATCACGTGACACCTTCCTGACTCGTGACTTTGGATCAATGGTGGAAAATTCGTGGTGCGGTATGTATGCACGTTTTCAGTGGGTGACGTCACTGGGTTACGACGCCATCTTGAAAAGTTATTCCTAGTGGCGCCACCTGGGCTACGTTAATTGGTCACCCGAGGGTGCTTGTGGTTTCTATTGGTATAATGATACTTGGTAAGGGATGCTGATACGTTAATGCTCTTCACCTGGGTCAATCTTCGTGAACCGGATGTCACGTGGGGGGCCGGGGAGTCGAGCGGAAGACCGGAAGGAGGACGTGGGCTTAGATCGTGTCTAATTTTATTAGGAGTTGACCTGGGATACCAAGAGGTGAGAGGTCAGCCTCTCGACCTCGGAGATGAAATTCAGCCATTGAGGGTATTTCGAAATCTTAAGCTCTTCCGGCCATACTTAACCGTTCGAGATCATCTCGAGTGGATGCACTTGACCTGACCTGACCTCGCGGATACCTCGAGGGAAAGTTGACCCGGACGACGAGTTAGGTGCACCGAAGAAGCTTCCAGGCAATTGTCTCGTGTGAGGTTAGATTTTAATTAATGTGAAAACATTTTTTTACTTTATAAATTTTTGACTACTTTTTTTTTATATTTTAGGTTAATAAATACATTTTTCAATTTAATTAAAGTTGGCTCATTCAGGTCTGAGTGCCTTCGAAGATCAATGTGTTACGTGTTACGTGGGGACTCCGTACTTTCTAGGCTGCTTGTACTTTTCTACCGTAAATGGAGACCCGCTGGTTAATGGCGTCGGTCCTCCTGGCAATGTAAAGCTTCTTTCACACGGAGAACCATTGCGCCTCGTTATTAAGACGCGTACAGTGGGAAGCGAATGAAAGTATTTTTTTTTTTTTTTTTTTTTTCGAA